GGGAGAATTAAAGTCTTATAAGATGAGGTTGAGGATTGATGTGCCTTATGCACTTAAGGTGTTTATACACTCAGGTAGTTAGAGGATTCAATACTAAATATTGTTTGTCACTAACAAATCAAGAATTGAATCGGAAATTTGAACTGTTTGAATGATTTATGTATGATTGGCTGTATTGTTTTGCATTTGAGTCATCACCAAGTTTAAACTTGTAAATCACGTAAAGTGCAAGATGGATGAGCAATAAAACTCTGAATTTGTGCACATCTAGAGTATTGACAAATAGGGGTTGGGGTGCATGGGGTATTAGCTGTGTACTTTTTAGAGGCCGTCTGATCTACGAGTCTCTTGTTTTACAAATACTTTTTAAAACTATAAGGAGTTAGATGAGATCTCATACTAGCTATGGCCACGGAGTCGCGCCCGTCTGCCATTGGATGTTTATTGATGTTTCCGAAAGGAGACATGGGGTTTTTCTTTTATTGATGTTCCGAAATGGAGTACAGGGTGACAACCTTGTCTATTATTTAATCCAATCAATGAATGTAATGAAATGAATTATAGTTAGTAATTAGTGAAGTCTTAGTAATGTTAACAATTGAAGCGTGTGTTTGAGTCAATAATTAAATTGTATGTGCTGATTGATTTTTTAGTAACATGCTAGTGATTCTTTGTTGTATTTTGTAGCTTGTATGTACAATAAAACCAAACCACCTTTGGAGAACCAAACACTCCTTGTAGTGTGATTTTTATCGATTAGTTAGTTTTTCCCTCCATTTTCATGGTATTACTATATAATACAGTACAAATCAAATGCTAATAAGTACGGCTATATTTTTCTCTACTCCGTATAAACCCTTAACTTCCCGTTTCTTCTGTATATCATTCCTGATTTTAATTTTCTCATATTATTGATTGAATTCTGCGAATTCTCAAACGATTTTTGCAAATTGCAATATGTTTCAGCAATTTCAATCAAAACAACAATTTGATTATTCGTATCGAATTTTTTAACACGATTTTGTGAGACCATTTTCCAAACAAAACAACATCTTGATGATTTCAAGGGCAAATTTCTTGACAGTCGATAAAAAATTGCTACAAAATTCATCAAATTTGATTGTTGCAATTGTTATTTCAAAATTGTAGTTGTTGATTTGCAACTGATCAATTGAAGAAGCAATAAAGATATTTGACGAAATGTCTAGCTTATTGTACTCAAGATGTTCGATGAAATGCCTGAACCAGTTGCACTATCAGAAAGAGCTTAATTTGGAAGAAAATGGAGGAGTTTAGAGGTGCTTGGTAAGTTCCTGAAACTCAAATTCCTGTCTTAAAATGGAGGGAGGAGTGCATGAACTCATCTGGTTATTGGTATGCTTTAACCTTTACGCTGTAGCGTTTGACAGATTGTTAGATAACACTCCATTTGTGACCAGTATTCTTCCTGGAACTCTATAATAGGAGTAGTTCTGATTGTTGATGTCTGAGATTATTTCACGAAGAGGGTGTTGGCGGAACACAATATGGAGTTCAATAGAAAAGTACCCCAAAAATTTAGGGACATGTACAAATAAATTGCTAGATTATTATTTTACCATATTTGAGGAGCGTATGTATCAGATTAGAGGCAGCCTAATGATGAAAGGCCGTAAATTCAAAGATGTCAAGGTGAGAGAGGAATAAAAAATCGAGGGCGAGACATTGTTTATTCAATGAGAGAGTTCACATGAAGTTTGTGGATTTGTCTGAGAGCTTAAAGTACACTTCACATAAGCAAGCAATATTGCTGTGTTCGATTCAGAAGCCTAAGGACCTAATGTTTTTAAAGAGTGACATGAAGCAAATCCATTTAGGTTGTCTCCATTGTTGATAGGATCTAACCCTAGTCTTCACACTGAGGATCCTAGCGCCTGGCTTTAAATTATTGCAGCCAGTTCATGGATTCATTCATGTGTGGAAACCTTTTACAACATATTAAATTATTAATAGCAGAAAATTATCCAGTTAGTGAGTATCTTAAATCCAAGATTGATGCCAACTGAGGTAAAGCAAGACATGAGGGACATATCTGAGGCTGTAATTAGTTAAAGGAAGAGTCAAAGAGCTAAGAACAAGTCTTTAAATACTGTCATGAGTCCTCATGACTCAAGATTCTAATGCAAAAACAATGTGGGATATTGAAACCCAATTGGTGTAATTAGATAAGTCTAACCTTGGAACAACATGAAGACACTTGAGAGTTGAGACCGAAGGACAAAAAGCTGTTTCATTGTTTCTTCATATGCTTTTATACCTTGAAAAAAGCTTCAAAGAGACTTGCAGGCCAAATATTGGGATAGATGGGGCATATTTTGTGTTTTAAAGGGGAGAAGTCGAAACAAATTCATTATTCTGGTTGCTTGAGCAGTGGTAGAGTGCAAGAGATGTGCCTAAGCCTCCAGTGATATTCACCTATGCTAGGGGAAAGCACAAGAAGGGCAGCAAGGTCAATTGATGATGCAGGGGCAGAGATGACAATTTTAGCAATAATCTGTTAAGAGTTTGTTATGGAGAGAGAATGAGTGGTGTAGCTGTTAACAAGTTGTTAGAGGGAATAATTGTATTTAAAGGGGTGATCTCTGCAAATTTGGTTATGCAAAAATATTGTTAAGCTCCTGCTTATTTTGGAGAGTTCCTTCCTCTCGAATGAAGGGCTTGTATTGAGTAGATTACTCGATCAATCAATACAAAACTATCCCAATTTTCCTCTAAATTGCTGTTTTTGTAGTGTTTCTGCTGTGTGAGTCTGATTCCTAACATAGAGGAAAGAAAGGAGTTGATTGGATATTTTATGAAGTCAATTACTGAAGACTTACAAATGTGAGATGGAAAAGGGTGGACAATTGTGTCAGATAGAAAAAAGACAAGTACATTCTTTATGTATAAATTTATTGCTAGAAATCCATTTGGCAACTGAGAGGATCAAGGTTCTTCGTCTGATCTTAATTTGCCATGATGTTTGCATGGCTCTTTGTAGTGTTCTTTGACCTAAAATATGAAATTTCCCTAATAAGTGAGAGAGTATTTGATGAAAAAAATTGGTGTGGGTTAATGTTGCTAGTTTATGGGTGTTCTAGGACCAAACTCCTTGTTGAATAACCCTGAGGTCGGTGCAGTTGTAGTAGTTGCTTTCCAAGTTCATTAATGTGCACTACTTTTAATTTGGAGGGCTTCATGAGAACTCCTAAGGTTTTTTTTGTTCAAGTTATCTTATTTTTATTTCAGACAATAAGTATAAAGACGTTCTAAGTTCAACTAAGTTAAAATAAGTGCTGATAAGTTTAGACAAAGAAGGTTTAGATAAATTTAGACAAAACAAGCTCTAACACACTCACATATAGCTGTACAAGCTCTGCTACTCTGAAAATTATTTCTGATAACATAAGTTTAGATAATTTAAGTTCAGATCATATAATTTCAACCAAATATAGTTGAACCAAACAGAGCTTAATTACATCAATCAAACACATTTATACCTTCTTTGATTATGTCTATACAGATTTCCAAGCCCAAGGAATGATCAAAGTGTACCGATTAATGAATTCTGCTTGCTACATGTTAATGTTTGTTAATACTGAGGCAGCTTTTTACTCAAGCTTAGTGATTTTTTTTTTTTGACTGAGTTGTATAGAGAGGTAGGATCATTATTTTGTCAGAATTATGACTAGTAAGTCATCTGTCTATCTTGATATTCTTCTATTCATCGCCCTCTGTTCCCCATCAGTAAATGACATCTCAAACACAAAACTTGTTCATCAGCTGGGCCAGTAATTAAACTATTTTTAGATGACTAGATGTTATAAATGGCTAGTGACCACCAGTAGGCTTTTTTTCACTATATTTGGGTGCTTTAGCTTGACAGGAATGATAGGATTTCCGCAGAATTGGCACTTTCTTTTTCAATGCTTATGGATCAAGTGGTTAATCTTGCTCAAGTACACAACTGGTTCATCAGCTGGTTCAGGAATCAAACTTATCTAGATGACTAGATAATATAGTTTTCCTATCAACGGTCTAGTGACCAGTATGATTACCAGTAACATTTTTCACTATATATCTGGGTGCTTTAGCTTGACAGGAATGATAGGATATTCCTTGATTTGGTACTTTCTTTTTTAATGCTTATGGATCAAGTTATTACTCTTGCTTTTCTTAGGGGGTTTCTCTGGTGTATCTCTTTTTTTTTTTTTTTTTTTTTTTTTTTTTTTTTTTTTTCTTTTTTCTCCTCAAAATTTCTTCTTTATGTACTCTGTAATAGACTGCTTTTCACAGACCAAACTCACATAAAAGATCGATTCTTTGATTACTAAATAATCTGAATTTTTGATTAAATTGATTTAAAAAGAAGAAATAAGAAAGATGGAAGCTTTTATATTTTGATTGATAATGGAGAAAGGATTACAAAAGATAGGTTGAATATTACTCTCCAATAGTGAGTTTAGCTCACAACTCTCTAACAATGGCTTTAGGCCATAACTCTCTCAAAGTTCACACCAAATTTCTGCCTATCTTTTCCTTTCCCTCCTCTATCTATTTATACTAAAGCTAAAGACTCTAACCTAATAATATTAGATTTCCCAAATTGCTCCACCTAAGGTTAGTCTATTACATACTCTTAATAATATACTTCAACTATGTGTTCTTTTTTTTTTTTTTTTTTTTTTTTTTTTAATTTTTTTTTTTTTTTTTAATTTTTTTTTAGTAACAAATATTCCGTATTGGCTAACTCTCAGTTAAACTATTATTACTAACAATCTTTTAATACGGAATATGTGTTGTACTTCCAGAATAGAAGACTCCCTGATGTGGGAGCTCATTGTAATACAAGGGTGGCATGAGATCTGAATATCTGATACCATTAATGTAAGGATTATAATCTCTTCGGGATGATATGTTTGTTTTGATGTCCAAAGACTTACGACATTTGGGGTGGGTGGGTGGGTGGGTTTGACCACATAGACACTTGAAAAGCATATACAATAATGCAAGGAAAAATGTGATAACAAATTATTCTTGCCCGGGAACTTAGTGTCTTCTCTGAAATGCAAATAAATACCTTCAAGAGCAACCAGTAGCATAACTGAAATCTATAAGGATAGGTGCACTGGTGATCAGACTTCTGATCCACTTTTTTCCAAGAAACAAGGTAAGATAAAATGGAAACAAGAAAAGTAAGTACTACGTACGAGTATAGTGGTACACTGGTACAGAACTTCTTGTGTCAGTTCAGCTCACAGGATATGAGAACTCTTCTAGTATGAAATTCCTGAATTGATGTGGTGCTCTTGTGGGCAGTCTGCTTGCTGAAGATTAATGCCACAATCAGGTTGCCACAGTTCAGGGTTTTTTTTCCCACTGGAATCAGGAAATTATGTTAATTAGGGAAACTGATTAGAAAAGAATAAAGAAAAACACATTAAAAAATGTAAGGTCAGCCAACTTGAGTATTGGAGCTGCTAGTCTGAAGAAAAACTGATGAGAGAAGCTGATGATTCAATTATATAAAGAAAGATGCTATTGTTTAGGTAAATGTATTTCCTCGGGTATAGGAAAGGGCCAAAGGGGCTCATTGGAAATTGTCATTAATTTTACTCAGTTAGAGGGTAGCTTGAACAAGAAGAAGAGGGAAATCAGTTAGAGGGAATTAGTGACTATAGATAGTGGATCTTAAAGGGAGAGAGATACTATGTTGGAATTGGTTGAGAATTTATTTGCTTCAGCTTGTTAGCTTTGGAGTGTGTCAAGCCACTTGAACACATGATAACTGTCTTTAGCTTTCTGTGATTCTTGTATCATCAACCAAAGTTCAAATTGTTTTTATTTTGGTTTCCTGCCCCAATCCCAGTTTATTATAGTAAGTTAGTAACATAGACTTACCGGCAAAGGAGTAAACTCATAGTGGTTGGTTTGGAGAATAGTATGCTCGAATTTACTGTTGCCAACCTTTTCCACAAAATCCTTTGGCATGTTGGTTAGAATCAGTTCCTTTAAGGTGGTTCGTTCTAGAAACTTATTGGGAGCTCTTTCAACTGCTGGCAAGATCTGATCTCTAACTCCTTGATATTGGGCATTCCTCCCAGCTCCACTACCCATTCCTCCAGGTTATTCAGCATCCACAACTTCAATACACGAAGATTAACAAAGCCATTTTCTGGGCATTGCATTTTTTGTCCACAATAGGATTCTGCCAGAAGCCTGAGGACAGATAAGTATTTAAGCTGTGACAAAACTCTCATTGGGTCATCATTTAGGTTTGAAACAGACAGTGTGAGAACTCTTATATATGGCGGAAACTCAGAGTTATTGAGTAGACGGTTCAGCTTTCCAAGCAATTTTAAGTGAGTAATTTTATGTAACTGTGACAAGTTTTTCCAATTCAAGTCTGGATGGGCAACCACTTTCATCCTTTGATGTCAAGCTTAAAGACTGAAGATGAGTTTGGCTTGTAATCCATTTCAGCAAATCTTCATAGCGTGTTAATTGGCAGCAAGTAATACCTAACTCTCGTAGATCATTTAATTGCCCCAGCCCATTCTCCATATTGCATCCATCATCAATAATTATTCCCCAAAGTGTCAGAAGTTTTTTACTAGGCTGCTGAATTCTCATGTCTAGACGAACCTGAGGGAGATTAAGATGTCGGAGATGCTTCAGTTTCCAAACAGAACTTGGCAAATTGTTGATATATGTGCGCTTTAGGTCCAAAGTTTCAAGGTAGGGAAGATCACCCACAGATTCGGGAAGGTTATCAAGAAATGTCCACCTAAGCCCAAGTATCTTAATTGAAATAGATACTTCAATGTTGTAGGCAATATTGGCTTATATACTCCTTCCAGATCAAGCACCCTTAGCAGTCCAAAACCTCTACTGCCGATGATTCGACGTAAGAAGTTCCCTACTCCTTTAGCTGGAGTGTCATATCTTGTACAGTTGAATGAAAAGTAGGACCGCAAATTCTGAAAGTCAGAATCAAAATCATTGTCTGTGATATCAGCATACGCTACTATTCTACGCACCCGTAGAATGCTTGGTTCTGCTGGTGATGTCTCCATGGGATTTTTTATTATTTTTAATCGGAGGGTGGTTTGCTTGGTTCTGCTGGTGATGTCTCCATGGGATTTTTATTATTTTTATTGGAGGGTGGTTGTGTTTGTTCTGAGGACATTTGATGGATATGAAAAGCCTGATTCCTCAGCTTTAGGCGATAACTGTTCATGTTGAAACCCAGGCAAACGGCATTTCTTGGGGCCTCCATCTGATCTAAACTTGGATATTTTAATTAAGTTTCTCCTGACCAAATCATCGAAACACTTCTCAGCTAAGTCCTTCCCCCAATCCTGATGAGCGTTTGTAGAAATTCCCTCTGCAAGCCATAGCCGAAGAATTCTTCGTACTGAGAGATCAAATTCTTTTGGAAAGAGTGTCAGGTAGAGCAAGCAGAGCTTATGGTGTGCAGGGAGATCAGCGTAGCTCAACAACCAGACATCCGTGTTCTTCCAGTTAGCCTGGCTGAACACTCGGGTCAATTCTGCAGAGTTCATTTTCTTGGTCGATAGGAAACCCCCTAGGAGCACAATATTTAGAGGTAGGCCTTGGCATTTCTTCACGATCTGATCCCTTAGAGAAGCGTTGCCAGATATGGTCACATATTCCCTCTTCATTGCGTTAGCTTCTCAAAAATAACTCCCAGCTTTCGTTTTCCTCAAGTGGTTGCAGTTCAATAAGCTTAGCATTTCCATCCCGTGATTCATCTATATTCAGCACCACGACTTTATACTCATTCATGTTTTGGAGACTGAGAGCTTCTATCAATTCTCTGCAAGCATCCGGCTGCTTCCTCGCATCATCTAAAATTATCAAGCACTTTTTCCCACGCAGAAATTCACATAGCTTGTCTCTTAGCTCTCCGTCACTAAGAAGTGTGAGCTCATTATCCCTTTTCTTGTTTGACCTGATTCCATACTTTTAGCAGTAGATCTTTAAGTTTATGCTCCTCAGAGACATCAAGCCATGCGTGACATACAAACTGCTCCTTGATTGACTTGCAATTGTAAATCCTTTTTACTAGGGTAGTCTTCCCAGAACCTAAACGACCAACAACATCAATTCGTACCCCATCCTTTTCAGTCAATCTACTTTTCAGTGAATTTTCATAATCCTTGAAGCCAATATAATCTGAATCATCTTCTTCACAAACACCGCTGAGCATTCGCTTTGTTCGAGAGGAACTACCTGTACTGAGGTTCTTATCACTGAGGTTATCTAAATTTTGCTGCTTCTGTTCTATGTGAAAGGATAATTTTCTCAAGCTTGCATCTTCAATATTATGTGGCCTACTCTTATTTAGCGCTTTTATCTCATCCTCAATATGCTTCAATTTCCTTCGAAGCTTCCAGCAGGCTGTTATGGTTGAATCCTTCATCTTCTTGTGTACTAATTTGAGGACATAGGATTCAACCATATCCTCCAACTTATACAATGTGTTTAGATATTTCCCAACCCATTTCTTGGCATCCTTCTCATCTTTTGGAAGCTCCTCTGCATCCGTTAGGAATCCTCGCATCTGCCGAAGCTCTAGTCTGATGTCTTCAACTTGGTCGACGACCTTGTCGAATTTTTGGATTCCTGAATTAGTAGGTCTGTGACTTTCTGGATAACCACAGAAACAACTGCTTCAACAGCCATAGTTAGAATAGAAGGTTTAGCTATGGCTGTTATTGAGAATTTGTGATGAATGTGCGGTCTGTGATTTCAGTAGAATGATCAAGAGGAAGACAGAAGTTAGCAGTGTAGAAAAGTCTTGACAGGGTGGGGTTGATGCACTTAACTTTGTTTCTGTAGTTATGCTCTTTACTGAGTCACTCAATGCGCCCACACAGAAGAAGACAATTAACAGAATTAAAATAAGTTTTAAAATTGGTAGGACTGCGAAATTTACCTCTGTAATTTGTAGTCATGTAGTTTTTTATTTTTTTTTATTTATTTTATTTTTTTAATAAATATTAGTCATGAACGGTACACTGAAACCGTCATACCGTTCACAAAGAACTAATATCACATTCTAGAAGCAAAAGCTCTTTATATTTACAAAATGACTAGAATCATTAACTATTACTACTTTATTAGACATTGAATGTGAATCAAGAGATTGTTATATACACCCGAATGCACGGTATACTCATGAGCATTTTATTCACATTTTGATGATTGTTTTTCATTTAATCGTCAAATGAATAGCAAAAACTAAATTTGGGTTAGTTGAGTGTACGGTACACTCAAGTATGTAAAATATTTCAATGAGGGTTGTCAACTATTTTTCAACAATTGAAGATAAGGTTCTATGTTACTCAAACCCTTTACACCTCAAGTACTTGTGTTGGATTTTCAACATTCAAACACGAGTAAGATAGTTTGGATCTTAGTTTTGTGCCAAAAAGACCCAAAACCGTAAAATTTTTATTTTAAAATAGCTGAGTCAGACACTTGACATACATTTCCAAGCCTGAGCAACATAGATAGGATTGAGATGACTTGTTGACAGGCTTAGCTTCCATGGGAATAAGCTTCTTGGAAGTTTCTTTTTCATTTCACATTTTCTTTGAAACCTACTCCGTACCAATCGCCAATAAGTAACGGTCTTTTCCGTTGGCGCACAGCTTGACTAGTTGAAAATCGGGACCTTTTCAACTTACTCTCTTAGTAAAATTTCCTCGACTTTGTGACGAAACATCGTTTAACTGTCCTATTCAATTTTTATTGTCACTCAATTTCTCTTTGATTTTTCAAAACCCTTGTTGCCCACTAGTAAGTAATGTCCTCGTGTGTGTTACTTTTGCAAAATTTTTGAATCTGTTATTGCTATTATAATTCTTGTTCTTTTTAAAAGTGTGCTAGCACAGTAATTCTAGTCTTTATGCTAGTAGTGCTGCTGTTGTACAA